CTGTGCTATCACTATGGCCCAGGATATGGTTTCTCTCAGGGCTGAGGCCGGGCCTACACAGCCCTGGTCACTACCATCACCCACCTTACTCTGCATCATCGCATTGGTGTTCCTGGTGTCCTCCAGGGAGGCCAGGGCCTGCAGGGACGCCTCCCGCTCGGCCAGCAGCTCGGTCTGCTGCGCCTCCAGCAGCGCCTGGTCTTTCAGCAGCCAGTGCAGCTGCCGCTGGAGCTTCGTGGCCTTCTGGCCCAGCAGCTCCTTCTCAGAGCCAAGGCTGTTCAGCTGCTCACGCAGGGCCGAATCCACGCGGGCGGCCTCCTCCTTCTCAGCTGTGAGCTCCTCGATCTCTTGCACCAGCGACTTCTGATCCCGAGCCAGCTCCTCGTAGGAGCACTGCAGCTTCTGGATGATGTTGTCCTTGTCCTTGGCCAGGGATAGGTTGTCCAGAACCAGCTTCTTGACATGCTCCTCCAGCTGGCCCCTCTCCTCCAGGCCCTTGTTACACTCGGCCACCAGGCTGCTCTTGCTCATCTGCAGCTCCTCCACCAGGGCCTGCAGCCCCAGCTTGGCGACCTGCAGTGCGTCCTTCTCCGCGCCCACCCTCTGGAGCTCCTCCTGCACCGCCCTGCCCTCTTCCAGCACTTTCTCTTTCTCCGCCTCGAGGGCTTCTCGGTCCAGCCGCTCCTGCTGGCAGAGCTTCTCCGCGGCCCACCTGGCCTCGATGACCTTCTCCTTATCCAAGCGAATCGCTTGGTTCAACAGCCAGAGCTTCCTCTGCTCTTCCCGCAGCGAAGAGTTTTTGGCCTCCGCTTCTCTGAGTTTCAATTGAAACCACCCTCTCTCGGACTTCAGACAGAGCTTCTCCTTTGCCAGCAATTCATTCTCTGACCTCAGGGCCCTGCGATCCTCTGACATCAGCTCCATCTCTTCTTTGGCCGAGCTTAATAAGCAAGTTAAGGACTGCAGAAACAAAAAGCGGGGAAGAATGGAAACAAGAATGAGATCAAGCAGGCACAAGCAAGCCAAGCACTTCTTGTGGCCTAAATACCAGAAATGAAAATGGCAGACTAGTCTTACCTGCACACGCGTGTATACGCGCACGCGCACACACTCACAAACACACGCACACACAGACTCAGGATGGAGAGGCTCAAACACAGTTAGCTTCTTAGCGTCAACATAACTACCTGCCTATTTTGTGGATGGGGGCCCCACACCTGCTGGTGTTTGGGTCTCGCTCAGGGTTCTGTGTTCAGGGATCACAGCTGGCAGGGCCGGAGGACCATACGGGATGCTGGGGATCAACCCCGGGTTGGCGAGTACAAGGCAGCACCCTACCCATTCTACTATCAGCCAATTTGATTTTTGAAATGCCGTCTGAAATGATTCCTGACAGCTCCCCGGAAGGTGTAAGTACAGTTGGATCTTGACATTGGGGCATAAGATTTTTCCCCCCACTTCAATTCTTCTATTATAAAATCCATCACTCTGTCCTAGAAGGGATGCATTCAAAAACTAGTTTTCAATACAATTCAAAGAACTACAAAAAGTATTTTGTTTTGGAACTTTGTGCAGGAGGGGAAGGGAAAAGCAACCACTGCTTGTCAAACGATTTTCACAGGAACAAACAGAGGCAGGAAATGGACTTAGTCCCAAAAGTTATACACTTTATAGAAAATCCAGACGAATCCACCAAGCTTTGGAGACTGAAGCCAACAGTTTTTGCTTGCCAAACACAGTAACAAATCTCAAAATGGAGACATTAGTGGGCCCGCTCGAGCCAATCGATGAGCAATGGGAGGGCAGTGTTTGCAGTCATTTGGGAGGGGCCCAGGGGCTCCAGGAGGACTGGCCGCACACGGGTCAGGGTCTCCCTCACCTCCTCTCCCTGCCCGTCAGCAACGGGTTGTGCGTTTTCATTTCTGAGTCTCAATGCACACCACAGTTGAACCGCCATGTACTTTCCAGAACTTTCTGCAGCAAGGGCTATCTTCTCTGTCCAGCTCAGCAGCCATGAGCCGCAGCAGGCTACTGGTGTGTGCTGGGCAGCTGACCGCTGACGGCCATGTTACCGGAATGGGACTGACCTGAGCATGCACACGAGGCTGCTGGCCATAGAACTGGGCCAGCAGGTGGTCCAGAGAGGAGACGTAGCCCTGGCTGCGGTGCGTGGTGGAAAGCGGCCGGGCACCAACACACACACGGGCCACGGCCGCCATCAGCCGCGGCGCTGCCCTGCGCCCACCCACCTTGGCCTTGTCGGCTTGCGTCTTCAGCTCGGCCACCTCCCGCAGCAGGCTCCCGTTCTCCGCCTGCACCGCCTGCAGCTTCTCCTTCGCCTGCAGCAGCAGCTGCTGAAGGGCCTGCGGCGCCTCCTCGTGCTGCCCCTGGATCTCCACGCTGGCCTTGGCGTGCTCGGCCTGTAGAGCCTGGCACTGGCTGCGGCTCACGTCCACCTTCTCCTGTGGGGAGCCGGGGGCCACCGTCAGCCGCCGGCCCCCTGCCCGCTCCCACCACACACGCACACACACGAACAAACACGAACACACACACACAACGCAAACACACAAACATACACACACGCACACACACGGCCCCTCTGCTCTGCTCACCAGCATGCACACACAAACACACATGCACACACACGCGCGCACACACGGCCCCTCAGCTCGGCCGCTTTCGTTCAAGTTCTCCTGAAGACTACGAAGCACTAGCCCCATCCCCTGCAGCTCCTCGGCCAGGCTATCGGCCTACCAGTGTCACAAGGATGGAGTGAATGGACCAAGGAGACAAACAGGAACGGGAAGGGGAAAACAAAACAGAAAACACGTATGAGAAGCCCATGACCCAACACAACCCCGAAGAACAGAGGCGAGAGGTGAGCGTGATTGCCTGAAGCTCACGAAGCCAAGGCCTTGGCGCCGGCAGTTCTGGTGATGACTGTCTAGTGGTTATTGAAAACGGCCCAAACAGAGGCGTTTTCTAGACCTAACTTTGGCGTGACCAGAAAATAAGAAAGCCTATGAGAAAGACTGACTTTCCAGGGGCGGGGAGACGGCACAAAGGGCTGGAGTACACACCAGGCCCGAGTTGGAACTGCAGCACCACTGGGCGAGACTGAGATCGGTCCCCAAGCGGAAAAGCCCCACTACTGCTGGGCGGGAGGACCCCAGAGCCCAGAGCATGGCTTGGCGAGGAAGAAGGAAGTAAGCAAGGGAGGAGGGAAGCTAAGGATAGGAAGGAGGGAGGGAGGAAACAGGGAAGAAAGGGAAAGGGAGGGGAGGGAGGGAATAAAAGGTTATCTTTTTTTTTTCCTTTTGGCTTTTTCGGTCACCCTAAATGCTCAGGAATTTCTCCTTGGCAGTAACCCGGCCAGCTCACCGAGAGTATCTCGCCTGCACAGCAAGCCTGCCAAGCTCCCCGTGATGTATTCGATATGACAAACACAGTAACAAGTGTCACAATGGAGACGTTACTGGGTCCGCTCGAGCTAATCGATAAACAACGGGAGGGTAGAGACAATGACAGTGACCCTATGGGATGATGGAGATGGAACCCACGTGAGCCGCGTGCAAGGCAAATGCCCTTCCCACTGTACTATCACTCCGGCCCCCAAGATTTACTTTCTTGTAGTTTCTTTTCTGTGACTTTAAAAGTTTGAGAGGTTTCAATATGAAATTTAAAATGAGGAACCTCTAATCCCCTAGACAGCAGTCACCCGAACTTGACGTTTGTTACATCTTGATGCGAACAAGTGGGTCAGCTATCCCCTGCTCTGTCCTAGGAATTGATTCCATTTGTTTCAGCCGGTGTTTCTGGAATGCCAGCCAAGGAGTCCTGAGTCCTGAAGGGAACTCCCAGGGATCTCGGGGCCCTTCTGTTATGTCTGTCAGTCCTGTCTACAAAACTCACAGCCCTTCCATCTTGGCCAACAGAGAAGTTTCTCCAACAAAGTGCCCAGCGCGGGGGGGAACGGGGGGGGGGGGTGAGGGCACGTCCCTACCACCACAATCCTATAGGAGGAAAAGGGCATCTCTCGGGGCTCCTTGGTGAGAACTGCAGCTTCCTCGGCTTGGCCCAGATCTCACTGTCTCGTCCTTCCCCAGGGTCAGGGCTACCATGAGAGTCCATGCCTGTGGCCAGCAGGGGGCCATGCTGGAAGGCGGACTTGGCCCAAGCACCTGTTAGAGGCTGAAAGGGATGAAATCTCTGCAGGGCTGGCCGGGGGCTTGTGCTGCAGGGACGGAGGGGCTGGCAATGAGAAATACCAAGATGGGCCACGTCACCAGCCTTGAGGGAGCTCAGAGGCTCAGAGGCATCGAGCACCAGCTGGGAACTGAGGCGCCTCGGGGAGAGGAGGGCAAAGCCCGTCACACGAGCAGGTGGTCAGCAAGGTCAGGGGAAGACCCTCGCGGCCTGACTCGAGCCCAAGTGTCTGGGCGAACTCGGCGAGTATGCAGCGAGCCCAAGAGGTGGGGGGCAGAGGTTTGCTCTGGGGGCTCCTATCTTGTTTTCTCACTGGCCTGGTGAAGAATTCTCTGTTTCAGAAAGACCCCAGACGGGCCCGATTAGCCGGGGCCAAGGCTAGCACGGCATCCAGGTGCTGGGGACCAATGACAACCCCCGAATCATGCCGACTCCTTCTCAGTCCCCTCAGAGGGAACCGCACGGGACGTGACCGGGAGACCTGTCAGCACCAAGCCGGAACACGGCGGCGAGCAGACTGACACACAGCATGCAGGGAGCGAGCGTGGAAGTGGGCGAGGGCGCCCGAGTACCAACCTGCAGCTCTCGGCCCGCTTTGCATTCTCTAACTCCTGAATCTGCTGCTCAGCCACCTGGAGCTGCTGCCTGAGCTTCTCCATTCCCAATTGACCTTCGGAACTGGCCTTCCAGAGCCCATCGAGCTGCAAGAGCTTCTGCTGGGTGGCCTCCAGCTGTGCCGTGGCATTGGCCAGGGCCTGGGCTTGCTGACTACACACGGCCCGCAACCCGTCCAGGTGCTTTACCTTCGTCTCCGCCTCCTGCAGCTTGTTCAGGGCGTCCTCCATCTCCACCAGGTGCTGGTCCTCAATCTGCTCAAGCTTGGCCCGTGCGGCCTCCAGGCTGTTCTTCTGCTCCTGGGCCGTCCTGAACAGCCGCGACCTGAGCGTCTGTAGCTCGGAGGCTTGCGCTGCACGCTCAGCCGCCTGCTGGGCCTTCAGGCTCTCCACCTCCTGCTGGTACTCGAACTGTAGCCTCTCGATCTGCATCTTGAGCTCGGCCAGCTCGGCCGCCTCGGCGCCCACGCCCTGGCTCACGCATGCCTTCGGCTCGCCCATGGCCTGTTGGTGCGGGGCGATGGCCGTCTCCAGCTTGGACTTCCTCAGGGCGATCACGTCCGCGTTCTCCTTGTTGGCATGGTCCAGCTTGGCCCTCAGGCACTCGTTCTCCTTGGCGAGCTTCTCAGAGGCCACCTGCAGGGTCTTCACCTCCTTCTGGTGGGAAAACAAAATTTCCATGAACTTAAAACAGGAAGGAAAAGAAGCAGAAATAGAAATTTGTCTTTTCCAAACTGACTGTTTGCTTCTTCTTGTTTTAAGGAAAAGCTTCCAAAAAATGGGGTTCTAAAGGATTTGATTTGTGCTGCTCGACTGAAAATCAAAGCTGAGGCAAAGGCATAGACCCGACTGTCAGAACGAGAGAAAAACGCTCATCAAGAGCAGCCTCCAGCCCCAAGGAGCAGAGATGTGTCAGCCGGGCCCTGCCAGGTGCATGACCCCAGGTATCCCTGTCTGATTCGGAGTCTCCAGCAGAAGTGGTCCCGGCGGGGTCGGCCAGGCCGCCCCGCATCCTTGCCTGCACCCTGCAAGCCTCCGGGACCTGCCCGGGCTTTACCTCCAGGTCGCCTTTGGTGATGGACTCCTCCTCGACTCGGAACTGGAGGTCTTCCACTTTCCTGTGGGGGAGAGGGAGACGTTGTGAGGGGCGTCACTGCTGCCCCTCATGAGGGCCACCATCTTGTAGATGCGCCTGACCCAGCCCCCGGCTCCACACACAGGAGGGCTGAGAGAGTCGGGGAGGGCCAGAGCGAGAGGACAGCAGGCAGGGCGTTTGTCTTGCACGTGGCCGACCCGGGTTCAATTCCCAGCATACCACTATGGACCCCGGAGCAATGCCTGGAGTAATTCCTGAGTGCCGAGGCAGGAGTAACCCCTGAGCATCGCTGGGTTGACCCAAAAAGAAAAAAAAGAAAGTCAGCGAGTCCCCTCAGCTTCGAGCACTGGGTGGGACCCGCAGGCTACAGGAGGAAGCTAGGCCGAGCCAACGCCAGGTGCAGTATCATATCAACCCTTTCTGCCTCGCAGCTAACAGAGGTGGTTAAAAACTGACCCGCGGCGCCTGTCAGTCCCTCCCAGCCAGCGCCTGTCTCCACATTGGGACAACAACTGAGCCCCTGGGGGAGAAGCAGCCAACGACTCGGGGGCGGGGAGAGGAGGGGCTCCCAGTGACTGTCGAGTCGGCACGTGGAGCTGAGGGGCTGAGCCAGGCACTGGCAGTGCCCCTGGGCACCACACTGCCGGGAGCCCATCTGAAAAGGCGGTCTCGGCCAGCACCCCGTGTCCATCTGTCTGCGGCCAGGCCTCAGCCCCGCGTCCGTCTGTCTGCACCCCGGCCTGAGCACCACGTCCGTCTGTCTGCAGCCTACCCTGAGCCCTGTCTGTCTGCTGTCGTGCCCCATGAGTACTGTGGGTTTCCTCCCGCCTGGGACTTAACCACAGGGACTCCCACAGGGCCCACTGGGTTAGGACAGTTCCTTGCCACCCAGCACAGGCCTCCTGAATACCAGGCCAGGTGGACACAGCAGGGAGGGCCGGGGGTGGCTTGGCTCCACTGAGCTCCCCCCCCAGCCCTCCCGGTGAAGCCGCGCTCAGGACTGGGCACCCGTTGGTTTCTGGTTCTCACAGCCCTGGAAGGCCAGGAGTGCCCCAGCCGAGGGAGCCCCCAGCTCCGGGCACGGCCTCACCTCTTCTCCTCCTCCAGCTGGTTCAGCAGCTCCACCTTCTCCCAGTCGGTCGCTTCCAGCATGGCCCGCAGCTCATTGTTCTTGGCCTCCAGCTCCAGAACGTGCTGTAGAGGCAATGGCGCGTGAGTGGCCTCGCCCGCCCCCAACAGCCCTCTGTGGGCTGGCATCGCCACCTGTCACCACGGCAAGCTGAATGGATCTCCCACCTAAGCTACGGCATTTCTGGAAGGCCAGAGGGGAACCACACCACGAAAGCACCGGCGCGGACAACTCGGCACTCCCTAAACCCCCACAGGGCGAGCAGAAGGCGCATGCGATCAAACCACGCGCCGGACGCCACCGCAACGACGGCAGACGGGGACCCACGGCCTCTGCCTGCACCGCCTGCACCAAGCTCGCGTCCAGCCTCTACCGCAGGCGTCTCTCGGCCCCGGCACTGCCGTCTGCACAGACGTCACCTGGTCGTGCCCGTTCCGGCCAGGGCCAGCTCCTGCTCTATCTCCCCCATGTGGCTCGTGGCCTTGGCCACCTCCGCCCGCTCTAGGTCCCGCTCGGCCAGCAGCTTCTCAATGTGCTGCTGCTTCTCCTTCAGCGCCTCCTGGAGGGCGGTGGTGCCAGAGATCTTGTGGGCGTAGCGGGAGGAGGTTTCCGGCAACTGCAAAGGAAAAAGAGACGTGAAGGGGATGGGGCCGGCCGACACGGGCATGCTCGCGGTGATCCTCGGCAAAGCACATGGAGCAGTGCTGCATCCTTGCATATGGGCCAGCGACTCTCAGCAGAAACGTCATGAAACCTTCCCGAAGATCCTTGGACGGGACCTGGGCTCCACTGATCTCGGGCCTCGTGGGAATCCAGAGACTCTTCTGCAGAGCCGGAGGCAGCCCCCTCCACAGCCCGCTCTGGCCTGAGCTTCCTTAAGGCTGAGCCCTTGGCTTGAGCTTGAGGCCGGCTCCAGCATCTTCAGCCTTGCAGGTCCGTCAGGGTCTCCCTGGGCAGCCTGTCCCTTCTCTCTTCCTCTTCCTTCCAGCTCACCTCGCTCTCCCGGGCACCCGCCCCATGCCTGAATAGCAGTAACCAGAGACTCTTGTCTCTGGGAATGGCCCCGTGCCCACAGGGGTCACTGGGTGTGACCCTATAAAAGACCCCTTTGCCATCTGCCTTCGAAAATGGGAGATGAGAGGCTAGAATGATAAACTTGCGGGAAAGGCGCTGGCCTTGCACGCCGCTGACCTGAGCTGGATTACAGGTACCCACCCCATAGGGTCCCGAGCCCACCAGGAGTGACTCCTGAGTGCAGAGTCCAGAGTAAGTCCTGAGTATTGCTGGGGCATGGCCAAAGTCCAGGGGAAAAAAAAGGAAAAAGTGGTGGGTTCGAATGTGTGAGGGCTCACGCCCAGCGAGCAGGACAGCAAGGGCAGCTCAGGGAAAGACCAAGCACAAAGGGAAGGAGAGAAGAGGCAAAGACAGTGAGGAGGGGAGGGGAGTGGGCTGAAGGGCTGCGGGGACCGGGGGTCCTGTCCATTCTATCCTGGGCTCGTGGTCGCTCATGGTCGCTCTGCAGACCCAGATCCCTCTCTGCACAACGGCCCCTGCAGGAGGGGACATGGCGGGACCTGATCTTCATTCTTCGGGCACATGGTGGCGGGGGCTGCAGCGGTGATGGCCAGGACTTCCGCTCCTTCTGCCCGGCCATCCCTGTTCCATCGCCCTGCTGCGGTCCAGCCGCAGGTTCTCTTGCCGCTTCCCCGCATCATCTGAGCTGCTGCCAAACGCCTCCTGACCGACGGGCCCAGCAGGGCCCAGGCTGTCCACTGCTGCTTTGCCTGCTGGGAGCTCTCGAGCCACCTGGTTCTGTCCGGAGAGCGGGATCATCCTTGCCTGTGCGTAAGGACCTGGCCGTGATTTCCCGATACACTTAAAGTATATCTGGTCCGATTAAATGCCCTCCCCAGGGCCAAAGAGTCTGTTGGAGGGGGTGGGGGAAGGTGCTTGCAGAGGTTCAAGATCCAGCACCATCAGGAGTGACCCCACCCCCCAAGCAGAGAGCCAGGAATAAGCCCTGAGCACCCCTGGGTGTGGCCCCAAAACCAAATAATAACTAAAATTTCTAGGAGCACACGAGCTCTCGGGCCAGCCATGTGCAGTGCTCCCGGGAACTGCAGTCAACTCGGATTTCAAGGGGTGGCTGGGAAGAGCTTGCCAGCCTTGGGGGTCTAACACCAAGACCCGGGCTCAACCCCCCTCCACCGGGAGCAGCCCCCAAGCACCACGCCTGGAGTCCCTGAGCACTGCCAGGTGAACACCAAAGAGCAAAAATAAAAACTAAGAAAGGCGGGCGGCGGTGTTCCCTGAGCCTCCTGGCCTGAGCGGGTGGGGCAGGCCAGACGCACGTGCTTCCTGGGCCCGAGACAGCTCCCTGAGGAAACCAGCACAGGAGCGATGGGCTTCTTTCAGCCAACTATGGAGACGAGACTGTGAGGTTCAGGCGCCGGAGCAGGGAGAAAGCAGCACCCCTAGCATGGGGGGAGGCGCGTGCTGAGGGGCTGGGCAAGGTCGGGGCCACGAGCTGAACTCAGGATGCTGATGCCAAAGCCTCTGCCCTGCGCGTGGTTTGTGAGGCCCCAGGCTCCATCCCAGCAAGGCCAGGCCTTCTGTGGGAGCCTGGTACCTCAGAAGAGCAACTCAGCCAACAGACGAACAGGGAGGCCTCCACAGGGCACGCACGGACCCGTGTGCATGTATGTATGCGTGCATGTATGTTCCGGTGGGCATATCTACACGCACCTGTGTGCATGCGCGCGTTGTGTTTATGCATGTATGTGCCTGTGTGTGTATACCCATAAGCCTGTGTATATACGGTATGCACTACGTGTACATGTATGAGTGACTGTGTGTATGAACGCTTGTGTGTGCACTTATGGAATTATGTTGTCGAGGTATACTTCCGTGAAGTCACACAGAATCTTTCTATATTCCTGTCATAGACGCTAACGGTGATGTTCAGTTTAGGAGTGAGCTCCACCCTGCATAAAGATATGCAAGGCAGGGGCCAAAGAGCTGGAGAGCGAAGCCCCAGCGCTGCCCAGGCTCAATCCCGGAGGCCCGCCAGGAATAATCCCGAGCACAGAGGTGGGAGAAAGCCCTGAGCTCTGCCAAGTGTGACCCCAAAACAGAACCAAACAAGATAGCGGGGGGAGGCTGGAGATACGTCTCAGGCGTAGGGCTCTTGCTTGGAGGTGGGAGGCACCGGCAAAACCCCAGCACTGCAAACGGCCCTTTGAAGCACTGTAGGGTATGGCCCACAGTCAAGCAGAAAAACAAAACCAAATTCCACAAATGGGCTGGCTCGCGAGGGAAGGAGAGGGGCTTCTGAGTCTGCTCTCCTCCTAAATGGTGAGGCGAAGGGAAGGAGGAGTCGGACGTGAGGATACAGGTGGGGCAGGGAAACCTGGTGGTGGTCGAGCAAGACAGGACTGGCCCCAGGCCTGTGCCCACGGCGCGTGGCCTCCTGGCTCCCGTTCCCGTGTCATCTGTTTTGTATCTTCCATTGCACACACACTCACTCCCTCCTCTTCCGCATCGAGGGTCAATGCACGGAGCAGAGGCGGCGGCAGGAAGCGCAGCCCCCAGCAAAGCCAGCCCCCCGGGACACCCTCTCCATCGTGGGCCCGTTTCCCTGTGGACAATATCTCAGGGCACCCTTGCATATTCAGACACACTTTAGTGTTTATGACTCAGATCGACATGAGAGGAGAAGCCACTAGGCCCCAGCTTTGAATTGCGGCACCGCAATGGACAGAAGTCAAGGCCACTCTGCATGTGGACAGCGGTACAGAGGGACAGGAGGGAGCAGGGAGAGACGGAGAGAGCAAAGAAGCAAGATGAAGGGCCAAGCGTTCCCCAGAGTCTCTGGGCCCTGCTCTGACCCTCAGGCGCCCCCTTCAGCTACCCCACTTCATCCCTAAGGTGGCCTGAGGCCAGAGAGGAGCCCTGAGCACCCCAGGAAAGGCCCATCCCTGCTCCTGTCACTGGTGGTGGCTGGGAAGCCACTCGCCTGCCACCCGGAGCTGCTCAGCCCACGTGCTCCTGCTCCGCCTCTCGCCCCTGGGGCTGTGGGAGTCTGTGGGGGCCCGAGCACCCCGCAGTGGTAGGGGGCTGCTTACTAGTCGCGTGCGGCCGGATCTGCTGCACTCGAATGAGGCCCCGGAGCTGACGGAGCTGAACGAGGAGGCCGAAGGGCTGCGCTTCAGGCTGGCGGGGGTGGTGGCCATCACATGCCTCACGGCGGCCACCTTGCCCTGGGCCGGCGTCGTGGACGGGAAGCCGATCTTGGTGACTTTGTGAATGGGAGCAAACAAGCCATACTTGGGCTGACACTGGAAGTACCTGCGGACAACGAGGAGGGGGGGACAAAAACACCTTCGGCAAGAGACCAAGAGACACAAGCGCCGACCCAGAAGTCCACTGAGTCCCACAGTCTCACACCCCCACAAACGAACACGCTCCCACAGCCCCACATGCCCACACACTCACACCCCAACAAACACACACACACACGCACCCCAAACAACACTCCCACACTCTCACACTCCCACCCCAACAAACACACTCACACTCACACCCCAACCAACACTCCCACATTTCCACAGCGCCACACTCACACTCACTCCCCAACAAACATCATACCCTCCACCAGCCCACACTCACACACACTCACAACCTAACAAACACACACACACCCCAACCAACACTGCCACACATAAACACCACAACCAACACACACTTACACTCACACCCCAACCAACACTCCCACACTTCCACACTCTCACAGCCCAACAAACACACTCACACCCCAACCAACACTCCCATACTCTCACACTCCCACCCCGTCAAACACACACACTCACACCCCAACAGACACTCCCACATGTCCACAGCCCCACACTCACACACACTCACTCCCCAGAAACACACATACTCACACCCAAACCAACACACACTCACACTCGCACCCCACCGACACTCCCACACCCACACACACTCACACCCCAACCAACACTTCCACACACCCACAGCCCCACAGTAACACACACGCACACCCCAACCAACACTTGCACGCTCTCAAACCAACACTGACACGCTCTCATTCCCCCACAAACACGCTCACACCCCCACCAACACTCTCATGCCCACGCCCCCACCAACACTCTCATGCCCATGTCCCCACCAACACTCTCACAGCCCCACACTCACACGCTCACATACACACTCCCTCATACATTCACACCCACACTCGCTCGCATGCCGCCCACCCCCACCACGCAAACCAAGGGCGATTCCAAGCAGCCTCCCCGGCATCTGAAGGGTGACAGCAGGCCCGGGGGGTTCCTGCGGCCCGAGCACAGCTGCATATGGGGGCCCCAGGCTGTACCCACATCCCTGCAGGGTCCCCGAGTGCCACCGGAAGTGGCCCCGCCTAAGAACCAAGTGAAGTGGCCTGCAGTCCTCTCAGCGCCTCCCGGGCACCGTGCATGGACCCAGGCTGTCTGGGGGGCAGGGGGACCCACCTCCTTCCGGCCACGGCACCATCGTTCTTGCCCAGTGGCTTGTCCAGCTCTACGCCGCACCAATCCCCCTTGGCGAAGTCCGTCTCCCCGAGGAAGCGCACCACACCGGCCTCCATGCCTCCCACCTGCAGGAGGGATGGAGGGACGTGGGTCAGGCACCCTGGACTGAGCACAGCGCCCCCACCCCCGCAAACGAACATTCTGGCTTCAGAGTCGGGATTTCCTGAAGAAACCCCAAAGGTCAAAGTGCCATTTCCCCCCGCAACCCCTACAGGGTGAGCAGACGCTGCTGCTCAGTGTCCATGCAAGGCAGCGGCATTCACACCCACTCGCTGTCACCGGTGGCCTGGCTGACCACACCCCCGGGAATCTCTGACCCAGGCCAGCCACCTGGTGTGGCGAGGGGATCGCTGCCCCGTGGGTGTGGGAGCGGAGCACTGGCAACCCCACCGCAACTTTGTTCATTGGTTTGTTTTTGAGTCACAGTCAGAGTGCTCAGGGCTTACTCTTGGTTTGGTGCTCACGGATCACTCCGGGATGTGCTTGGGGGACTGTACATGGGACCAAGACTTAAACCCCGGGTCAGAGGCGTGCAAAGCATGACCCCTCCCCACGGCATGACCCCTCCACCCTGTTTTGGCTAAACTGGTAAAACTGGCAGCATCCCCGCACGCATCCATCACGCTGGAAACTGCAGGACCAGGCGTCCCGGCTGCTCGTGCTTCCACCCAAACCGCGAGTCTGGAGGAGCTGATGAACCAGACAGGCGAATGGACAGCCACCCGCGACCACTGCCCTCGGCACTCACCAACACCTGGTCCCCGAGCTTCAGCTCCCGCTCCCCTTTCTTGAGGGAGCCAGCCTCAGAGAGGTTGGAGATGGACTCGCTGGTCGTCCTGGTCAGGCTGCTGATGTGAGGGGTGGCCGGTGCCTCCTTCGCGGGGGACTGGGGCACCTTCGCGGTGCCGGCAAGGGCCGGGGAGGCCGACAGGGGCGGTGTGGCACAGGCGGCAGGCGCTGGCTGCTGGCAGTTGGTCTCATCGTCGGCCTGCAAGCTCCTACTCAGCTTGGACGGCCGGGTGAAGATGCCCTTCAGCGGCTCGCACTGGAAGTAGCGCACACCCGCCACCGAGCCGTCGTTCTTGCCGATGGGCTCGTCCAAGACGATCCCGGCCCACTGACCAGGGGCAAACTGGGTCTCCCCGAGGAACTGGATGAATCCAGGCTTGTTCCCGTTCACCCAGACTCGTTCCCCGACCTGGAAGTCGCCCACAAACTCCTCCTGCATCTCCGAGGAGGGGGCGCTGGGGGTTTTCTCCCCAGGCACGGTCTTCTCAACGGGAGCAGCCGCTGGAACAGCAGAGACGGTCAAAAGGGTCAGAAGGGACAGGAAGGGCCTGTGCAGGTCCAGTTAAAGTGTGGTTGGGGGAGAGGGACACCCAGCAGTGCTCGTGGCTACTCCCAGCCAATGACGGGGGCTGCTTGTGGCGAAGCCTGGCCGGGCCAGCCGTGAAGCGGACGTGCTCACCTACCGCAGCATCCCAGGCCGCAGTCATACTTTGGGCAGCTCAGGGGAAATCTTTGGATACACCCCGTGATACTACGGACCAAGCCAGGTGAAAGCTCGAACCCAGTGTCTTATTTCTGCTGTGTCCACTGGCCCATCTTCTTTTTCTTTTTGGCGGGGAGCAACACAGCCAATGCTCAGGGCCTATTTCTGGTTCTCCGTTCAGGGTTACTCATGGTGAGGTTGAGGGTGGAGAGTCACATGGGGTGCCAGTTGCCCTCCCCACTGTACTGTGGCTTTGGCCGGCAATGAGGCCCTCTAGTCCAGGTGAGTCCACCTCCCTAAGCCTGTCCCCAAGCCCGGGCAAGGGAGCTAGCAGTTAGAAGGGAGCGGGTTGGTCGCCTCAGCTGTCACCGGTTGCCGTGACAGTAAACTCACAGAACGTGACACTCGTGTGTGAGAGCTGTCCCCAGAGCCACGGACGTGTCTACAGCTCAGGGAGCCCTTCCCGGGCGAGGACTCAGGATGGGGTTCCCGGGTGGGAATGAGTCTCCGTTGGCCTGGGCTGAGCGCACTTACCGGCCGAGGGTGCCTTCAGGGCCCAGCTCCCATGCTTGAGGATCTTGGTGGGGGCCTTCAGCCCGCTGGGCCTCAGCAGACTCATGGTCAGGCGGTCAGACGCTGCCGCGGCCACTACCAGGCCCCGACCATCGAGCCCACTGTGGGGCCTTCTGAGGCACACTCGTTCTCAGGACTAAATCTCTGAAGAGCAGAGGAGAGAGTCTGTCTCAGGCGAGCGACCACAGCAGCTTCCGGAGCCCAGAGAGCTGCCAGTCTGGCACTCGCCACCCCGAGTGCGACCCCCAGTCTCCCGCACAGCCCCCTGAGCCCACCAAGTGTCATTCCTGCGCAAAAACTCAATCCAAAACAGACAAACAAACAACTGCCGATTCGGGGCCAGAGAGCAGAGGGGACAGGTACTAGCCCTGCGGGCAGCTGACCCTTGCGCCCTCCCTGCCATCACTCCCACCACCAAACACATTCAGGAGCCAGAAATCATCCCTGAGCACCGCGACTGTCACTGACCACCTCCCCGTCCAGACACTGACGAGCCGGCAGGCGACGCAGCAGTGATGGCTGGTCTTGTGTGTGCGTGTGTGCGTATGTACATGTGTGAGAGGCCCGGGGTTACACGTAGAAGCTAAGGCAAGCAACAGGCACACTTTTTTCTATGGGCTGAGAACTGCAAGGGAAAAGGGCCCAGCAAGACTGCGCCATGGGGGGCTGGAGAGCGATAGCACAGTGGGAAGGGCATTTGCCGTGCACGCGACCGACCCAGTTTCGATTCCCAGCATCCCATATGGTCCTCTAAGCACTGCCAGGACTGATTCCGGAATCCAGACCCAGGAGTAAACACTGTGCATCACCAGGTGTGAACCAAAAAGAAAAAAAAAATTGTGCCAAAGGGGAACGAAGGAGTTTTCGGCATTTCCTTCATTCCTTGTGACGCTGCCCAGGTTGGATAACCACAAGCCAGTATTAACTCCATTTCTTAACCCACAGAACTGAGGCAGACAGGTAGATGGGGAAAGCGTCCCCATGACGATGGAACGCCGAGAAAGTCAACAAAAGCTTCATGGCCACCAAAAGACTACCTGAGTGCACGGGACCCAAGATCTTGTCAAAATTAACCCACATTATGAGGCCCAGAGCAGGCTGGACCCCCTGAGGGAATAGGAACAAAGGGCAGGAAAGGAATTTCTAAGAGGACCATGGACCACTCAACTCTACCCCGTTGGCAACCACCCTAGCAACGGACTCTAGGTAGCTAGAAACTCCCACCAGGGGCAGCCTGGGGAAATCCCTAGATAAGCCACCTTGAACCAAGGGAGGGCGCTCATGTGTGCCCGAGCCCAGGTACTGCTCTTGCCTATGAGGTCCATCATGTCACGGGCTTCTCCCCTCCTGAGGTGTGGACTTTCAGACCGAATGCAACCTAGCAACATAACATGTTCAGTGGCTTTCCGCACCTCTGGAGAAGCCGCACTCTCTCTCGAGCGTGTTACTCCCTCCCTCCTTCCCCTTCCTAAAGGCCTCCAAATAAAATGTTTCTGCTTCATGCTCATCTCCTGAAATGCTTTTCTGCGAGGAGGACAAAGACCCGGGGGCATGAGGAGGTCGAGGATCGACTCCCTTTCCCTGAAAAGGGCAACCCCTCACTCCGGCCCAAGACCCCGGGAAGGCCTAGTGGGCGTCGTGGGGCTGGCGGGGCTCATCGCACTCAGCAGTGCCAGCGCTCCAGCCAGTCTCGGGGGAGTGATATATTCTCCTCTACTTCTCATCAGCCCCCCATGAAGGCCCACTGACTTCAGAGTCATTCCATATTTCAATAGAGAAGTCCGCAAGGGGCAGAGAGGCAGGACAGTGGGGAGGGCACTTGCCTTATATCCAGTTGTCCTGGGCTCGATCTCCGTCAGCACAGGGACGTTAGCCGGCCAGGGTCACCCCTGGGCACAGCCAGGTATGGCCACCCCACCCCACCCCGCCCCCACCCCACCCAAAAATATATATATATAACTAGTAAAAAAACTTAAACTAACTAAACATTAAAAACTATCATACACTAAAGAACTGTTAGAGAAAAAAGCCGCCCCCACGCGGGCAGAAAGCCCAGAGACTCAGATTCACCTGTGTCACACTGCACTCGCAGCTTCAGTACTGAGCTCTGCCAAACAGGCTCGTGCCAGTCTCGTGGAGAGACTGAAAATGGCAGTTGTAGTCTAGAATGTTCTGAGGTAGAAGTAGAATTCAGCAAGGAGGAGGGCATCATGGGCCATTCTTAAAGGGGCAGGCGCCACCCTTCGTGATGTCAGTGTCTGGCTGAGGCTCCGGAGGGCTGCCCTTGCAGACGTCAGCACTACATGGTCAATGAGCCTCTGGTCCCTGCGGGGCCCAGTTCTGGATCCCCGGGCCCTGTGAAAGTGGTTTCAGAAAACTTTTGACAAATGTTTGTCAGTTACAGATCTCCAACTGAGGTCATTCAGCATCCCCCGAGTGGGACCTGGACCCAGTGACCCTGCCCAAGGCACTCCTCAGGAGCCGGGCCAGGAAATCTGTGAGCCGGGGGGGGGGGGTGCTGGCGGGGGGGCAGAGCGACAGGGCAGAGGCCCTGAGCTCGACCCTGACAGCCCTGCTCTCTGTGTCCCCAGTGCTGTGAGCAACACCGGCCGCACCATGGCCAGGGAGTGGCCCAGCCCACTAAGGCCTGAGAGCTGTACAGAGGAGTATGGCCTGGCCTGCTCCGGATGGGAGCACAAGCTGAATAAGTGCGGGTCCCCTCGAGGATAAGTGAGCGGGAACTGGGGAGTGGGGGGGAGGTGGGGAGGGCGGAGTGACCTAACCTGGGGGCTGAGGACGGGACATCTGACGGTGCTCAGGGCTGACTCTGATCCAGTCAAGGGAGCTCATCCTGGCAGGACCTGGGTGGGGAGGGACGTACAGGGTGGGGTGGGGTCAGCCACAGGCAAGGCAGGCTCCTTGGCCCTGGGCTACCCTTCCAGGCAAGGATACCTATTTTCTTTCTTTCCTTTTGTTTTTTGGGACACTCGGCAGTGCTCAGGGTTACTCCTGGGTCTGCACTCGGGAATCACTCCTGGCGGTGCTCAGGGGACCTATGGGGTCAGCCATGCACCAGGCAAGCGCCAAGTCTTCATGTCAAGGTGCCCACGAAACACAGTGTGCAACAAAGGGACTCTGCAGAGAACGCCAGGGCCAGCAAACGCTACTTGGAAATCAATCAATTCTGAAAAAACACAAAAAGATGCAAAAGGAGGGGCTGGAGTGAGAGCACAGTGGGGAGGGGTTTGCCTTGCTCACGGCTGACCAAGATTCGATCACCAGTCCTGAGCACTGCCAGGAGTAATTCCTGAGTGCCACGTCCGGCGCTGCGGGGCCGAGCCAGGGGAGGGCCGTCAGGGTGAAGTCAGCACTCGAGTCACACAGGTTTCGTCACTCAGGAGATGGCATGAATGCGTGCGTTTATTCAGAGCATAAGTACAGACTTAAGTATGTTTCCACAGCCCACCCAAAAGAAGGAAAGGGGATGGGACGTGGGAAAGGGGGTGGGACAATGAGCAGAGCCATGCACTGTTGGTCAGCCACCTGGTGACCCTTTCGGCATAATGCTATTGGTCAGAACGACCTGCTTTGATATAGCTTTGACATATCTGCAAAGATTGTGCTGTTCCTCATACACCATTTACAAATCATTTACGAGGGTGCATTTTCCCCAAACTGAAACCTCCTGTACTGGGAAGTTGCCCAGCTTTGAGCAGGACAAAGGGGGAATGAAAAATCAAGCATTCTTTTACTTGGTCAGTAGGCAACACTGAGCATCACTGAGTGTGACCCAAAAAGCCAAAAAAAAAAAAGAGAGAGAAAAAAACAGCGCAAAAGAAAATGTGTTTGAGCCTCACTGTCTCCCTGAGACTTGAGCACTCAATGCTGTGTGTGAGCCTAGTAGAGTCTCCGGCCTGAACAAGCCCCCACCTCCCCACCCCCATGCTCCTGTGTTTGGACCCTGACCCTAAATCCTGTGATGGGACCACGTGTGTCCATGAAAAATACGCTAGCAGGCTCACGCCCTGGAACGTCCCTGCTTCACACAGGCGTGGCACACGGGTCCTGGCCTGCTAGCGGCCGGCAGTGATTCGGCAGGAAGCAGAAGTGTGAGCCTGAACGTGGGTCAAGTCCGTTCCTTCAGCTTGGAGGGGAGGAATGTACGA